ATGAAGATTTCACCATTCATTCCCTTCTGAATTTTACAAAGAGGAGGAGGGGTGACAGAATCCAAATCCACATCTAAGAAGCATGCAGGTAGAGCTGCATAACATTACTTGAGTAGGAGAAGATAATTCCAGCTTGGTAGCCTGTAATCACTATGAATGAAGCCTACCTGCTGTGTAGACAGAGAAAACCCAGCAATCACAGATAACATAGCTACACCACTTTACAAGGGAAATTCAATGGTAATACTTTGGTGTCTTTTAAATTTGGATCAAGAAAATGAATTAGAAAGGTAGATATTTTATATAATTTGGATTTTTAAAAATTGAAATAAGGCACTTTCTGGACTGGGTACAACCAAGACTACAGCTTCCTTATTAGAAATTTTATAGGATGAAGTGTCATTTTTTCCTTTACCTGTCTAAAAGAATTGCAAAGGAGATATATTGAAAATGTACTATGGTAAAAATTTTAAATGTGTATACAACTGAAATTTGGCAAGGTGAGTGACACTGAAAGAATCTGTTTTCCTACACTCATCCTTTCTGCCAAAAAATGAAGCAGCTTCAAGCATTTTGAACCTTTCCCTGTAATACCAGAAGTGATGAAACAGGTCTATTATTCATCCTGCAAAGCCTGCAGAGGCTTTTTTCAAGCCTCTGGGAGGCCGAAAAAGGCCTCAAACTGGCAGAAAATCAGCTGTGAGCTGCAGTGCAGGGAAGGGGCCGGCGAAGGGGTTGCGCACGCAGAGGGGGGGGGCATTGCCTTCTGAGTGCTGGCATGTGAGTGCATGAGTGCAAGCACATGCACAATAAGGTTAGCCACCATTGCCCTAGTGTGTCATGCCCCCGTTGGAACCTGAATCTGCAGAGTAAGATGAGCTGCAGCTGGAGCCAACGGAGATCAAGGGAGCGGCTTCAATGGCTTGTGGAGACGAGCAAGCTGAATCAGCCCAGGGCCCTTCAGGATTGCGGTGGCTTGTTAGCAGGGAGGAATGGGGGCAGGATAAAACTGAGAGAAGGCAAGCAGTAGACATGAGGAGCGAGAGAGCTCAGGCAACGAGCAAGGACCACCCCGTCCTGATCCCTGAGCACGGAGAGTGGAGAGAAGATGGGAACAGCGTACACCAACCTGATGACTCGGGAGAGCTCCCCACTCCTTTTCATAAGGCATACCTGAAGACTGAGATTTAAGGAGACACTGTGGGGAGGGGCATTTGTAGGGAACAAACGCTGAATTGGTAGAGTTTGGTGTGTCTGTACAGACATTTGGAGTTTGCAGGCCTGCTTGCTTCTTCCTTACTTGTGGACTCAGTGCCTTCTTCCTGACTTTGTGGAGTCATTGTTTGTTCTTTGTTTTGTGGACCAATTTCCCTGTTCCTTTGTTTTGCTGGACTGGGCGCAGCCAGAGGCTCCTTTATGTGTGTCTGTGTGCGCGCTTTGCTCTGGGACTTGCCAAGAAGGTGGGAGTGTTTGAGGGGAAATTTGGAGCATTAAAGGGGAGTTTGAACTGTCATCTGGCTGTGTGACCTTCGTGCCTTGTCCCGGATTATCACATAGTGGTAGTGACCTTACCATGCTCCCTCCAGCTCTCATAAGCAATGAATGAATGATAGAGCAAACAAACGAAAGAATGAACAAACGAATGAATTAATATTGGCCAAAGAATAAAAGAGTTTGTTGAAACTATTAAATATCCCATTCTAAAATTTAGGTATATATTTGTTAATGAATTTATACTACAAGCTTAGTAGAAGATTTATACTGTATATAACAAAATTAGTACTATATAATGGTTCTAACATTACATTTACCTAAAAAATCCACAGGTCAAACCCACATAATCAAAGGTATCTGAGCTTCTGCTATAAAATAAAATAGTGCTTCTGAAATTATATCTGATCCAAAATTAACTTTCCATCAAATAAAAATAAGGAAGGTTGGTTAAGGAAGTTGAAAGAAAAGAAATTATTATTTTACTACCAATATAAATGCACAATTTGCTTGATTAGAAGAAATATATTTATTCCAATACACTGAGTAATAGGTGCTATGGCAATCATATATATGCATCTATTCTACTGGTGTATCCATTCATCCATTATATGTATCCATTCTACTGGTGTCTACTAACAGATATATTTAGTAAGGAACACAGTAGTTAAAGCAAGCATAATTAAAACTATTAAATGGAATTCACTTCCCACCAAATAGATGGAAGGATTATATGAAGGGTTATTTCCAATAAATCAAAACCCAAAAGTAATAAAATAAAAATGTGAAAATAAAATAATAAGGAAATGGCTTCTTTTATTGCAGAATTTTCAGAAAAATAATTATAATGCAACTATGTTGGGCTAAGGGAACTGTACGAGCTAAGGGAAACTGTAACAATTTATGAGAAGAGCTTTTATAAGTTCAGAACAGACTGGTAATTTAATTTTGTCATATAGTGCTCTTTCTTTGTATCGAACTCTACATTGTAGATACTACAGAACAATCAATACAGTGCAATAGATTACTAAATATTTAGAGCAATGCACTTTTTTTTTTTCTGCTGGTTGTAATCCTTTCACAGAAATGTTAACTTCATACTCAGATATGTTTTACTATCAAAAGTCAAACACAATCATGCAGTGAATACAAATAAACACAAATAAAATTACCAGAATTGGGGAAGGGGGATTATTAACAATTATTAAAAATATACCATTAAAATGTTTCAGTTTCTCTATCGATTGGTTTCTAGATAAACATGTCATATAAAAGGGAAGCAATTAACTTTTGGTGTTTATTTCTAACATTTAATTAAAAAATAATAAAAGCAGGTATTTTCTGAAGATCTGCTCTGTTAGTTGAATATCCTAAAAGTATGTTCTCTAGAACGTTACAATTCCAACGCTTTCTCTCTTTTTCTTCACTTCAGGCTCATGGATACATGTCCATCTACACAGTACAACCCCCAGCTGCATCCTTGTTTTAAAATAATTCAGTAGAAATAACGGACACTTTCTTTGTTTTCCTTCCATATGCTACTTTATAAGGACCATCCATCCCTGCTCTCCACAATGCATTTGTTAAACAAATGCACAGGTTATTAAATGGAGCTGGGGGAGCTTAGCATGGACACAAAGATAGTAGCTTCAGACCTTTCAAGGACTCCCCTATCCTGCATGCAGGCCCGCTACACACTGACTATCTTGCTCTCGACATAATTGTTCCCCTGCCCTTTCCCGCCAAGGTGCTCAGCTTTTCTGTGGCAAAAAAAGGGAACCAATCTTTCTGAGCTTTGTGCACCCATCGGCCTGCCACTGATCAGCTGGCAATTGGGAAGCTGCAGGCTCTCCTGCCCCTTGCCTGGTTTGGAAAGCTGATCCTTGAATTAAAGGCAGCTTCAGGATGAACTTCCTAAAACCTTTCCCCTCCTTTCTCCCTTTCCTAGAAAAGCCACATTGCTTCAAAAAAAAATTAAAAAAAAAATTGGGAGGGACAGATTTGTTGACCCCCCTCTGGTCCAATTAGGTGCTAGGACTAAATTCTCCTTCTGCTTTCCAATTTCTCTCCCTTTTAAAAACCTTACCTTGACTCCAGGCTGAAAGTAGACGAATGAAGCAACAAGGAAATAAAATTATTTCTGTGGCTTTTTCCCTTGAACTAAACAACAGCAACAAAAAAGTCATCTCCAACAGTTGTGCAACAAAATAGAGGACACTGGTTCTTTGCAAGATTTAGCTACCCACCTGAAGGGCAAGAGGCAGGAGAATGCTCTAGCCTGCTGATTGGCAGCCAACCAATCCTGCAGAAAGCTCTCAAAGCAGCTGCCATTTCTGCAAGGAGTTGTTGGGAACTTGAAAACAGTGGCTACTTTCCAAGGAGCATGGGGAGCAGGTCTAATCATTGCAGGTCCTATTGGGGCAGAATAGGGGATGACAAACAAGGAGGGGAATGCTACAGCATTCCCGTGGTCTGTGTGATGGCAAATGACCACAGTGTCTCTTCAGCTGCCATAATTTTGAAACAGTGTCGTATATAGTTTTGGAATGTCAGTCATAACTTTGAAATGTCATGAAGCGGCCTGTAGTTTCTTGAGAACTACCTGTGTAAATAGACTAGTTAATCTCACAGTTATCCTATTCCCATTAATGAAGGCCTCAGTTTGAATAACTTGTACATCTAAGCACATGTGTAATATCTAGGACTATGCTGTTTCTTTAAGCTGTGAGAGAGGGAACTACGGCTACAATTATATCAAATAATATCCTTAGCAAGAGGTCAAAGTTCCATTTTTTCCCCATATATGTATATGAGATTTTATATAAACTATGACAGTTAAAGATACAGAACTATGTGACAAGACTGAAGAAAAAGCTGATCCTAGAGTATGTCAGGTAGTCATTATCATTCTTTATTTGCACTTCCCTTTAATTTTTAGATGATGCTTCCAGAATCTCTTTTGGGCATTTTTATGCCTTCTATATTGTATTGTGTAGCATTTTATAATTTCTTTTTCAGAGTGTTGCCTTTATAATTAAAATTTTTAGAATGTATCTGTTAATTACAAACATAATATACCCATAAATAATATCTCTCCAAACATAAAATATTAAATCCAAATAAAAAAATGCAATGCAAATCTCATTTTAAAGTACAATCCTAGTAAATTAAGATGGATATGAACAGTTAACCAGGGGGCACAGTATACTCAGAAGACCAAACATGAGGCTTGTTTAATACATGCAACTAACAATTGTCTGCCAAAAAAAGGGCTGCCAGGTGAGCAGATTGTCATTGCAGGCTAGACTAATGGATCCTCTAGTGGCTTTTGTTACTGCTCATGTTACACCACTGAAATGATGAGCCTTGAAAATGACACAACATATGTAGCTTCAACTTGTTGGCTATAGGTAATCCTGCTCTTTTTGGTTTCAGAAGCAGATGCAGATGAGACTAGCAATATAAATATGCAAATTGAAATGGTCCCTAGTCAGCGACACTGTGCCTACCTCTAATGGACCTCGTAGAAAGTCTGTTTGCTCAGCTCCTATTTCGAGTGCTACATCCACAGAAGCAAAAGGACGGCTGGCCATCTGCTGTCGCTCTCGCAAAAGTTGCTGAGGAAAAAGGGAAAAAAAAACCTACATTAATAAAGTATATTGAAAATTGAATATTTAGTACAGTCAGTCAATGATTCATTTAACATTTATCCACTAATGGGAAACGCAGCTTCTGAACTATATGTTCCAAAGGAGTTCAGTTGTACGATAACACAGCTTTCTATACTTGGGGGAAAACATAATAAAACCAGAAATGTTTATTTGTTTTTATGAAGTCACAAGGGGAACACCATTATTTGCTATGTTTCCTTGAGTTCTGTGCCACTGAATCAATTACAAGTTGGGCTGGGTTGTTTCTGCTATTTTTAGTACCAAATACAGTAGTCTTTGACTTACAACAGTCCATTTAGTGACCATTTGAAGTTACAATGGCACTGAAGAGTGGCTTATCATCATTTTTCACACTTATGACCAGTGCAGCATCTCAATATCACATGATCAAAATTCAGACACATAGCAACTGACTTATGATGGTTGCAGTGTCCCAGGGTCATTTGATCACCTTCTGTAACCCTACCAAGCAAAGTCACTTAACAACAGCATTACCAACTTAACAACTACAGTCATTCACTTTAACAACTGTCATAAGAAAGATCGTAAAATGGGATAAAACTCATTTAACAAATGTCTCATATAACAACAGAAATTTTCGACTGAATTGTGGTTGTAACTCAGGGGCTATCTACACATTTCTTAGAAATAAGCTATTAGGAGCACAGGTTGAAAATAGCTAGTTAAAACTTACTTCTTTTTCTTAAAAAATTCTAGTGTCTCACATTTGTTTTCATTTGGAAAAAAATCAAAAGGTGGAAAGGCACAGTCATTTTGAAGGTGCTATTTCTTCTTAAAATATACACTATTCCTTACTGCTCTATGCTCACTCACACACATCTATCTATTTAGTCCTCATATTCATACTCATCTCGTATATTTATAGAAGAATTACTATGAGCTATGATTTCAAATAGTGTTTAATTATTATTTTTTCACTTGTTATTAGAAAAAAAAATGCTAAAAAGTCTTCTTCATCTTTCCATATTATTTGTCCAGGAAATATTTCAGTGGTAGTAGAGGAATTAGAAGAGAAGATGACAAATTAATTGTGTAGCAGCAATAGTGACCATAATAAAAGCAGAAGATGGCATGGATTGTATGGAAAATCATCATAGTTCTAATACAGTTTTCCTTCTTCGTGGTTAGAAATTCCAGACCTTATAGCTGACAGAAATCCTGTGTGACAAAATTTGGCGGCTTAATAACATTGATATAAGGTGATAAGGTCAACATCAAGTGTCAGAATCTTTAAAAAGTGACCTTGCTTACATATAAAAATTATTGAAAGGTTCTTTTAATCAAAATAAATTGTGGTCACTTTCTTTTGCTAAGTTAATTACTGTATGAAACTTTATTTTCTCAAATATTATTTTGGTGCTCTCTCTAAAATCACATTTATTTGCATCTGTCTTTGCTGTAGAACTTGAATTCTCTTATATGAAAGCCAAAGGCAATTCAGTATAGCAACCTTGAGTGTTATGGCTTCAAAGCGACGTAATACATTACTGTACAAAATCTAAATTATAAAAGATAATTTTTTTATCATTTATAAAATTAGCCAGCAACCAGTGTGTCATGTCACTGCCTAGTTCTGAATATTTTAGAAAAAGCACATATATCATATTTCACAATTATCAAATGTTCCTCATATACATGCTCAAAACATTTTTCTAAACAAAGAGCACATGTGAAAAATCACAGCAAGCATGACCTGAAATCTTATATCATGGAACAAACTCTGAATTCATCCTGGGAACAAGACCTTTCAGCCTTTAGATTCCCTGTGTATTTGTACTTCAGTCAGATGGAGTTATTACTAATAGTGTCTGCAGATGCTTAAGCATAGTCCCTTCTCTGATTACTTAAACATGAAGAATAATGTCTGAGTATCAGAGAACATTATTACACCAGTGCCAGTGCAACTGTGTAACTTAAAATACTCACACTAGACAGAGACTGTCAGAAACTCCAGTGACAGGCGCAAACAACCAGACTCACACATGAAGAGTTCAGTTACCTGTTTTATTGCTCAAGCCTATACATAGGGATCTCGTCAGACTAATGTTTGCAGATGGGTGGTATTAGATAAGGTTTAACAACATTCAAGGTGGGTTGGACTTTGTCCTTTCTACCCACTTAGGGACTCTAGACTAATTCCCCATTTGACTCTTCCCCTGGCTCAATCAGTCTGCCTCAGTGGTAGGATTCCAATTTTTTTACTACCGGTTCTGTGGGTGTGGCTTGGTGGGTGTGGCAGGGGAAGGATACTCTCAGAGTTGGTATTTGCCAGTTCTCTGAACTACTCAAAATTTCCACTACCAGTTCTCCAGAACTGGTCAGAACCTGCTGAATACCACTTCTGATCTGTCTCCTATCCACCAATATTACAAGTTATTCAGTAAGCCACAATGTACATCCTTCCAAGCTAATTTATATTTTTCTTTCAACCTATAATAATAATACTAATTAAACAAAGCAAATAAAAATGACAAACAACACTAAATAATACAAATCTTACTTCTATGCATTTGAAAAACTAATAAAGGCAATATTAAATATTTAAGTCAAATTAGTTGCCCAATTAAGCTTAGTTGCTTGCTTCTTTATATGAACTGAGTTTGGCTGCATTTGGAATGAACTGCCTAAACTGAATTCTATACATACTTAAAATAGTACACCTAGACACTAAAGGATTCCCAAAGGAAAATATTACAATAGGCTTGTATGGTACCAGGGACAGGCATGAAAAGCAGTTTCTTTAGGGCTTGTTGGCACAAGAGACTTAGACTCCCCTTTTCTTCAAACTTCAAGGGAAAAATGGTCCTCTGAGCCCATGATAGCAGTTGATGTGGAGGCAAATAAAAGGAGGAAGGAGTGAGAGACAGAAGGATGCTGTTGCTGTTACCACATGATCACCCTCTTGTCCTGTGAATGTCTGCTTGTATTCTGAATAGGAAATGACTGTGAAAAGGAGAGATCCTGGGGGAGTTTAGGTCCACTGTGAAGCAGTGGGGAAATGATCATAAGAACCTTCTCTTCCTTGTCTTCTCCTTCTCTTCAATTGCTGTACAGGAACCTGAATGTTCTTATTTTTGAGGGTTACTTACATTTCCTGGCTTTGATTTGTGGGCTGAACCTCAATCCAAACTAAGCTCTTAGGCAGGGGTGGGATCCGACAGGGTTAACTACCAGTTCAGTAATTTACGAGGTTCGGTGATTTATGATGTGCTTCCCTGCATGCTGCCAGCGCGCCTGTAAATCATCATCAGCACGCGTGCAGAGAAGCAGCCTTTGAAAAAGCCCCTTTTCCCTGCTTTTTAAACTGCAGCTATGCCTCGCACAGCAGCTGAAGTTGAAAAAAACAGGAAACAAAGGTCAGATTAGAGCCCAGGTGGGCAGGTGGGCAAAAACATCAGCAGACATAGAACCGGTTCTATGTCTGCTGCTCTTCAGAGCTACCGGTTCTACAGAGGTGGGCAGGAACCCACCCCTGCCCTTAGGCACAAAGAGCTATACACTATACATTACTAATACTATATTTTTAAATACAAAGTGAAATCTTGTCCTTAAGCTTAATGTGACCACTCACAAAGGGACAGAGAATAACTCTGAACACTTGAAGACAAAGATGAATATGTTAATGTGTTCAATGCTTACCTATTTGGTTTTCTCAAATGCTTGAATGATGTTGGAGAAGGTGTTGGAAGGATGTAAACAAAATGGAAAATGTTTTGTTTCAAATTCAGAACAAACCTGCTTTCTGATGGAACACACAAAACAACTCAAGTGTTCAGTGTTTATGCAGGAAAAAAAATGAAATGTTTCAAATATTCTGACTACAGAAAACAGTGGAAACTCAGAACAAGCTCCTCAACCTCATATCCATGTTTTACCTTCTTTTGTGTAATTGGGATGTAAAAAATTAGAGAAAGAAATTTTTTAAAAAATGTACAGGAAAGTAGGGAGTGAAGATATGGCACATGTTCTTATCACATCAAGACCTTTGGGATTACAGGTGGGAACACTGAAAAAAATGACTTATCACCTTTTTTCACACAACTGTTGCAGCATCCCCATGGTCATGTGATCAAAATTCAGACTTGGCAACTGGCTCATGTTTATGACCACAATGGAGTTTTCCCCCATTTTAGGATCACTCCTGCCACAGTTGTTAAGCAAATTACTGCAGTTGTTAAGATTTCGAAATGAATCTTGTCTCCCCATTGAACTTGATTGTGAGAAGATCAAAAAAGGGAGATCACATGACCCTGGGACACCGCCATAAATATGAGCCAGTTGACAAGCATCTGGATTTTGATCACGTGACCATGGGGATGTTGCAATGGTCATGGGAAAATCAGACATAAGTCACTTTTCAGTACTATTGTAACTTTGAATGGTTGTTAAATGAATGTTGTAAGTTGAGAACTACCTGTACAAAAATCACTTGGTCAATGAAGGTAAAGCTGGCAATCATTTGGAAGTTCTCCAGATTCTAAACAAAAGAAACAGGGATGTTTCATTTCTTTAAGTAAATTACTGGGGCATCCAGACAATCCATTATAGCAAGAGAAAGAAAAAGACAAATCTAATATTTCTTATCAAAATTTGGGCAAGATTAAATGGCCAGTCAGAAGCCAAGAAGCTAATACCACAATCAAATACAGACACAAAGACAGTTGATTTACACAATCAATATATTCCCTTTCCTATCAGGTTTGCTGTCTTCTATTGTCAAATCACTTTTTTAAAAAATGTCCATTACCCTCTGCCTGAATAAGTTCTTGCATGAATAAATAGAATACAGTATTATTATGAAATCAGAAAGCACTGTGAATTGTTTTGCTCAGGACCAGAATGACCCATGAGGCAATGAGGAGGATTGGGACTGCCTGATTTGAAATTGTATTTTGCAGCCTGCTTTTTGAGTCTAGACAAAAGAG